GGTCTGTATCCACAACTACGACTCGGAAGCCGCATACAAGGGCCTACCGTAGCCCCACCGATTGTACATCTCCACTCTCAGGCCGTAGCTGCGTCATAGAATGTTCAACACCCTCGTTCCTCCCTCCGAATAGGCCCGTCGGAATTGACTAGTCGGGATTAAGAAGGTCGTACGATGTATGATACGCTGGAGGTATGTCTTATCGCGTTAATCATACACCATCTTTTACAAATTTTGAGTTCCGCATCCTACCGATGCGACGTCGCGCGAATGCAAATATCGAACAAGTTATCAAGTGGTCTCGCTAGCTAGACACTTGTCTAGTTGCGGTATGGGGAAAGAAGACAGACCAAGATCCAGACAAGTTGTTTCTTTCATTTCTTCTTTTTTATGATACTCGATAGGCACCTGGAAATCGACCCTGATCGGTCCCGGAGACACGAGGCAAAGGTTACATACATGAGGAAGATGAGCTGGCCATTGCAACCCCTATCGACTCGTAGTAACGTTTGCCAAGGCTCGCGTGTCACGGGATGTGATGAGCCAATCCGCTTCTGCCCCGTTCACCTCCGTCACGAATGAACAGTTCGAATCCTCGTCACACAGCCTGTTTGACGTGCATCAATCAATGAAACACATTTTTCTTGCGCAGATGATCACAGACCTTGATATGATCACCCCCACAGCTTGGTAAACGGTTCATTGGTGAGATGATGAGGATTGTTTCAAGGCCTATCATCGCTCTACCAAGCCGGTTAGAAGACTGCAAAACTTTTCAGCCAAAGAAGGATAGATGTCACGGATGTATACCTATTTGGCAATAATAGCTTCTTGAATATCGTGACTATCGTGGACGCTGGTTAAGCGGGTGCAATTCTGTGCTAACCTATGTTCGATTGACCACATATCGTACGTGCCTATCTAGAATTTCATACATTTGTGATTTCGCTACTCATCATATATTCTATCAGATTTCTCGGAAATTGATGAAGAAGCTTGATCGGCTCAACCTCGTGGCTTGCCACTGCTCCCGCGAAAGATGCTCGATATTGGAGCTGTTCACCAAGGTCTGTGAGCGCTCGTTTTGATCCTATCACCAACTGTTTTTGAGACGAGGCTATGTAGACACTCTTGGCAATTTGACGCCCAACTGGGTGAGTATCTGGTCGTGTTACTCCCACAAGCACCTTTGTCTCCCAACAACCGCCTACACCTACAACCGCCCTTGTGCCTCATGCCCACGGAATCTGTCTTTTTATGAAATAGTCAACCGATCGGTGGAATCGGGGTTTCGAAACATGATGACGATCAAACAAACTTTCATCATCGAATTACAAGATATGCTTACATCGCCGTAGGGTATTTATACCGGGCCGTTCACTCACTCCTCAGTAGTTATTACAGTCCAGCGGTACGTTACTAAAAGGCCAGGGCCTTTTCCATTCCCCTCACGATTCGTCATGCTCTACCTCCAAATTCTGTATTCATTCACGAGCGACGACATCACCACTACCATTGTTCCCATTGTGTGTATCACTCTTTCGCCGTTCTGTCACCGTACACTGACCATATCAGACGCTATTCGCAGTCGTGGCTGGGCCACTCTGCAATTTCCAACGTTTTTCACACATTGTGTTCTGGATTTGGCTCCATCTACTCCATTTTAATGTCGCCAATCAAATAATCGATCCTCAGGAGGATGGGAAGAACAAGTCTTCTCGACCGATACCTGCAGGACTAATAAGCCTAGAAGACGCTCTTGTGTTACGTTGGGCTCTCATTCCCATATGTCTCGCCCTATCCGCATGCTACAGCTTTCAAGTCTTTGGCTTAAGCCTCGTGTTGACGCTGTTCATAATCTTCTATAATGAGCTTAAAGCCCACGAGCATTGGATCTCGAAGAACTTTATAACGGCAGTGGGTTACGCTTGCTTTGAAATTGGTTCCACTCTTATCGCAGGTTCGTTACCGAACATTTTATCTCCGAATGAATGCTTTGCTGATTTATTGCTCGAACAGGCAAAGATATGTCACGGTTAGAACCCACCGCGATTTCAGCGATTTGCTTAAGCCTTGCCGTATTCACGAGCACATTGCACGCTCAGGACTTCAAAGACGTGGAAGGAGACCGCCTTATCGGCAGACAAACATTACCCATAGCATTCCCGAATCTCGCGCGGACATCTATGCTGGTGGCCCTTCCTCTGTGGTCCATCTGCTTGTCTCGTGTTTGGGGAGTGGACACACTCTGCACGCTTGCATTCACAGGATATGCAGCGATGGTAGGGCTCAGATTCATGACCTGCAAGACATCAAAGGCAGCGCGAATGTCTTGCAAATTGTATAGTGTGAGTGGCGTTCTCTGACTGACGTGCGTCTTTCCTGATGTGATGTTATAGCTATGGTTTTCTGTCGCACATCTTCTCCCTGCCTATTGGCGGTACTTCCACGAAGGACAGAACTATGCCTTTTGAACGTCCTAACTTATTGATAATGTGACGCGACTGTTGTACGACCAAGCCTGTAAACGATGTAGTTTTTGGAGGTTGTAGTTTGGTTGTAGCTGTAATCTGTATCACCAAACGGATGCATTTCTTTTGTTCGGCAATGACATGTACCACGGACCCGGCGCTAACTTGTCGGCCGGTATCACACAACTCCACCGAGCCGCATGGAGGTCGCCTGACATATCCATGCACACTCTTATTTATAACGGGAAGTACATCCAAACTTGAGTATTCTCGCGACTCAGGCACTTGAGAAAGCTGTGAATCTAGATGAGGCCTTATTCTCTCAGGGGTACTAGGTTAGGACGACACACGGAAGATAATCTTAGCTGCCAGCCAGTGCCAGGGTGGGCACCAAGTATAGTCATCAGTAGCAACTCACCAACACGTGTAGGTTGGCCATGTGGAGCTGCAGTGCTTCGCGCTTGTCTGAACGTTGAACAGCCATCAAAGGTAAAATAACGAATGAATGGGACAAAGGAACAAACAAGGGTCTACAAGAGTTTATGTGGATCTCCTTCCTGATCGGGAGCAGGCGCTTTTTCGCAGCCTGGGTACGGTGAGTCCGAACGGTCACAGACAGCGATTAGCTGGTGCTTATTCTGAACTCGCAGCAACTTGGGATCTGCTCTAGGTCTGGTGGAAACACTCAGTGACTGAAAACAGACAGCATCGCTCTAACAGTAGACTTTCGAACGTCGCAGCCCGAGTGGGCCATTGAATTTTCATTGTCCGTCTCTTTCATCTCAGTGACGATTCATTCGATCCTTTTCAACTAATCGTGATCCAACGTATAAAACGTATTTCTGACGGTCTTTTCTCTTACCACATTTGTTTACAACGAACTAGCACTCTGCAATGGACTGGGACATAGGACCATCTCCTTCACAATTCCCCTCATCATCTCAATGGGCGCGCGCCAGTACTCGGCCTACATCTGCTAACATGAGCATCGACGACGATGTCGGCTACGTGACATGGAAGCAATCTCAACCCGACCCCATCATTCGAGAACTGATGCACAACGCAGAGAGCAAAAAGGAGGGAAAACGAGAACAGAAACGTACGTGCTCTCATACGAGAACATTCGAGGTGTTTTTGACTTGCTTTTGTTCTGCTTGCAGCCCGTTTGGATGCGTCTGAGCACACGTCCACATGGGCATCAAGCACCAGCACGTCTGTTCCTCACCGCACGGCATCCTTCCCCGGTTTTTCCACACCTTCGACAAGCACACTTGCATCTACGTTTGCGTCTAATTCATCGAGAAAACTACATCCAATGAAACTCATCTCGAAGAAAGTACCCCCGTCGCGTGCGTATTCAGCTACCGCACCCGTGAAGGATGGCGTATCTTCCGAATCAGAACTGGCCGCGAGATACCTTCATATCATACGTAATGGCACTGCAGAGATGGACGAGAATTCGAGGCGAAAGCAAGCTGCGAAGGCGAAGGCAGAAAAAGAGGCGGCGAGTGGCACGCCGGGGGATATCGCAACCCGGAAGAATACCTGTGCATCTTCGTCTGGGTCGAGGTCCACATCTACCGCGTTATCTGCAAGGCCTTTAAAGAAGACGGCTAGTATCTCGTCTACTTCTTCTTCTGCACCTCTGCGAGGAAATGTGATCAGTAGATCATCGAGCTCTGCAACTCTCAAACCTACAGTCAAAATTTCTAGAGACAGTGGCACATGCGGGGACATCCAGATGACGTTGGACTCAGATCGAGATACGGATCGCGAGGAAAGCACTTTCACCGATTCTGCAGGTGACTTCGCACCAAACGAGTCTTTCTCGATGCACGTCGATGACGTCCTACCACCTCCCAAGCGTGCTGTGGGGAGGACCCCCAGTATTGTTATGGACACCAGTCCTACGGTTTCTTCCTCAAACTCTGGGTTTATGCCTCCTTCCAAAACTCTCACAGCTGCATTCACTTCCGCATCTACAGTAGTTCCAGAGAAGATACCCCAATCGAGACATGTTGTAGCACCCTCAGCGACTCAACGAGGTCCCCCACCGCTGGGGATGCGCCGGCACCACAATCTCCCAAATTCCGGATTCCCTTTATCGCAATCGCGCTACGCCACCACGCAGTCGCCCTATGCGGCTTCACAAGCGAAGGGACAAAAGCCAGTGACGCTTCCGCCCTTCAAGCCTCCGCTGCTCAAGAAGCCCAACTCGATACCTACTTCCGCACCAAAGCAGGTCTTTCAGACTCCCGAAAGCCCACCGACTTCGACGCCCGAGCTGGTCAAGGACGATAGCAACGATGATGGTGATGATGAGGAGGATAAACTCGGTGCGGCGGGTGTAGATTCGTCGTTTGATGTGTCTTTTGATGTGGATGTGGATGCCTTGGAGGCGACGATGCGGCAGTATGATTAATGGAGCGGACGTATGCGTTTTTGACCCCGGAGGCTACGACGTGGGTGTATGCTATGGAAGGTGAATACTATGTTTTCGATCTGTCTTTGATAATCACATCTACTTAGATACATGTACACGCGTTCACATATAATATTCACTTTATGATTTCGAACTGCATATCTGGACTCTAGACTGCTACGTATACTACATACCGGTATACCAATTACTCAGTATTAAGATGCGAACTCTAGGCGATGCACGTCCCTTCTGTGTCGGCTGAGGGTATCTCTACGCGAGAACGTCTTCCCGCATTCACAGGAGTGCACAATCCTTAAATGCCTCTCTTCCACATGCCTCGAGAGGCTTTCTTTGTTCACCTCCAGATCACAACTATCCCACTTGCATATGACGTGGGAATTGTCTGAGCCACGAATTCCATGAACTTTAAGTAGGTGATGAGAAAGATTGCAGCCAAGAAACAAGTCATTGCAATGCAACCCGTGAGAACTACCCCACATGCACAGAAACACCTCAGCGAGGGAGTGGGGCATCTGCAAGGGCCAATTAGTTATAGTGAGGCACGGTCAGAAGGTCAACAACTTACATGTGCTCGTCTAGTAGAGAACTCAGATACTTTATTACACCGGTCGTTGTAGGAAATAGTTGGTACGGCAAATGCAGGAGTAGTATATCTGAAGACGGACATGTTGAGAGCCGAAGAACCCGAGGACGGAAAGGCCGATAGAGGAGGATATGGGACTACGGCCGAAGAGTAAGGCAGCTCGAGGTGCGAGCGCCACCAAACGGAGATTCCAGACGACGTGTCAACGTCGGCTATCTTTTTTTCATTCCTTTAGTATATGTTTTCATCAAAAGGCCAGCTGGCGCACTCACCATATAAAAGCAGCCATCCACCATCGAAACATCTCAGATTCGTAATCCGAATACTGAGATGTAAGTCTTCTAAAATGTAACGTTTGAGTACAAGTACTAACGTATACCGTAGCTTACCTGTCTAGGTAAAAACACTTGTCAATAAAGAGATTCGTAATCCGAATACTGAGATCTTACCTGTCTAGTCTAGCCTCGCGTGAACGCCCTGCTATACTCTCAATAGGTTATGAGCCCTGCCCCGGTCATGGACACAACGCTCCCCGCTACCAGTTCGAGCCTGTTCAACATTCCCAAGTTAGCCGAAGACGGCACAAACTGGATAACATACAAAGAACGTACGTTAACGGCCATTGGAGCAAGAGGTTTGATGCGTTATGTGGACGGCCGGGCAGTACGACCTATCCCGTTCCTAGTCGATCCCAAGACTGGAGCCGTAACGAAGAAGGATGGCACCGTCCCTACCCAGACCGAGATCGATGACCTGGATAAGAAACTGGATGATTATTACCAGCGAAATTCGCTGGTAAAACAACAAGTGTTCAGCAGCATAACTGATCGTCTGCTGCTGCGGGTACAGAAGCTGGAGGCTGCATCCGAAGTCTGGAAGGAGGTCTGTCAAATACACGAAGGCAAAACCGAATTAGTACAAATCGACCTCCGTCGTCGACTTCAGGAGACGCGATGCGAAGAAAACGGCGACGTACGTGCACATTTCAGCGAGATGCTGCGCATCCGCGAGTCCCTTGCGGGAATGGGCGCCTCCATCGAAGAAAAAGACTTCTACGCTATAATATTGGGGTCGCTCCCAGAATCGTACCGTCCCATCCTGTCGTCGATCAATGCGGCGGCCAAGATCACCAAAAAGGTCCTAAGTACATACGAACTTGTCAACGTCATCACCGAGGAATACGAGCATCGTTTGCTTACCGACAGACGCCCGTCTAAACGTGGCACTAACTCTGCCCTCTCCGCGCGCGCCAACGACGCGAAGTCCAAAACCGCGGATGGCGCTGCGCCCCACTACAACCCAGATGCGCTCTGTCAGAACTGCGACCGAAAGGGGCACTACAAGAGTGAGTGCTGGAGGAAAGGGGGAGGGAAGGAGGGTCAAGGTCCCAAGCAGAAGGCTAGAAGGGGAGGACGCACCCAAAAGCAGAGTGCTAACGCGGCTGCGGCCAAAGAGCCCGAAGCCCAAGACAATTACGCTTTCGCAACATCAGACCTTGTGAGCGTAGCAGAAGCTATGCACTTACCTGCTGCGTGCCGTGGAGCTATAGTCGACTCCGGCGCAACATCCCACTTCTGTCTGGACAGGTCCAAATTTGAGACTTTCGTCGAAATACCCCCCCAAAAGGTCTATACTGCAAACGGTTCCAACGTTAGCGCCACAGGTCGCGGAGATGTGAGAATCGACTTACCTTTGGGCTCCAAAAGGACCACTGTGACCTTGAAGGACACCCTATACGCCCCCGGTATGGCGTTCACCCTCATATCCACAAATCGTATCGCATCCGCCGGTCTAGCAGTCCTTTTTGAAGGACGCATGTGCAAGATTCTCTTGCGAGGTCCCCGAAGGGACGTTATCGCGGAGATCCCACAGGTAGAAGGGCTGTACTCTGTTGGGACGAAGGGGAGTCAGGGTCACCACGCCAATGTGGCCAAAGAAAAGCTTACCCTAGGCCAGCTACATCGTAGGCTGGGACACGTCGGCCAGAACGCCCTTGCTGAAGCCGTGAAGAAAGGCTTGGTGGTGGGAGTTGAGTTTGACCTGGCGACGAAAGCCGAATTCTGTGACATCTGCGTGAGAGCTAAGTCAGCGCAACAGTCTTTCCCAAAAGAGACGAAGTCACGTGCACTTACCTATGGGGAGATAGTCCATACCGACCTCTGGGGGCCGGCACAGACGACGAGCTTGGGAGGCTGCAAATATTATATCAGTTTCACGGATGACTTCAGCCGGCAGACTCGACTCGACTTCCTCAAACAAAAGAGTGACGCACTTACCGCGTTCAAGTCATACGAGGCGTGGGTGACGCGTCAGTCGCCGGGTGTCCGCGTGCGCAAAGTCCGTTCGGACAGAGGAGGGGAGTATCTAAGCGCCGAGTTTGACCGATACTTGCGTCAGCAAGGCATCGAACGGCAGCTAACAGTACACGACTCACCCCAACAGAATGGTGTCGCCGAACGACTTAACCGCACCCTGGTCGAGCATGCAAGAGCGATGCTCCTGGGCAAGGATATGCCGAAATACCTGTGGGCAGAGGCAGTTAGTTATGCCACATGGCTCAAGAACCGCCTACCGTCCAGAGCCATCCCAGGTAGCACACCCTATGAGATGGTGCGCAAGTCCAAGCCGGACTTGTCGCGTGCCCATGAATTTGGGGCACCGGTCTTCGTCCATACGCTGGAGGCCGGTAAGCTGGAGGCGAGGGCAGAAGAGGCAGTCTTCGTGGGGGTAGACGCTGAGAGTAAGGGATACCGGGTTTACTGGCCTGGGAAACGTCGAGTCACGGTCGAAAGGAATGTCACCTTCAAGCCAATCCTGGCAGCCGATGGTGTGCCGGACGAGGGGGAGTCTACTACTGTTAACGAACATAACAGCGGCAACGGTAATAATAACTCACCTAATAGCGTCCAGCCCACCACCATGCCACAGCAACCTCAACCATCTACTCCTCAGCAACCTCAACCATCTACCGCCCAGCAACCTCAACCATCTACTCCTCAACAACCTCAACCATCTACTCCTCCAACGAGGTCCACAAGGGCAAGACCACCCCCCGGCTACTATGCGACCCTAAACGAGGGCCAGACGGCTGCCCTAACGATGGAGAATCTGTTGGAGGCGTCAGAGGTGGACCTAATGGATGAAGAAAATTATCTTCACCTTGCTTTGGCCACAGCAGAGCCAGAACCCACCCTACAGCAGGCCCTAAACGGTCCAGACGGCGTTGAATGGCAGGAGGCGGTGGACTATGAGATAAGTCAGTTGGAGAAGCTAGGTACGTGGGAGGTAGTGGACCCACCTCGAGGCGCCAACATCATACCGTGTGTTAAGGTCGTACTCTCGTAAGATCGGATCCGAAGGACTTCGGCCTCAGCTCGTACGCTGTGCCCCTTTCCCAAGTACTGTCCCTTATTTCAAAGTACTAACGATAACGCGTCCGAAGGTCCGGACGGGTCTCGTAGTATATCCGGAAGTCTTCCGGATATCGGAAACGCGTATAAGGCTAATCCGGACGTATCCGAACTAGAAACTAACAGAGTAAAGACTACCCGAAGGTAGAGCCGAGGATATAGACTATCGGAATCTATCCGAAGTCTCGGAGAGTGACAAGAGTAAGGAGAACTCAAGTCCGGAGGACAGAAAGAGGACAAACTAAGATGATATTCGAACTGAGGTACTACAGGACATATACACGAGTTTATATACTATGAGGATAACGGAAGTATCAGTAAGCAAGGGTCCGAGGCTATGTACGAAGCATGTGCAAAGGTTATCAAACGCGAGTCGGAAATGAGACATAGGTTAACGGATCAGTAATCATACCGGTAATAAGCATAACCGAAACACCGGGAAGAGGAAATACCGAATAGGCTGTGTTTAACGTTATATGAAACAGGAAATGAATTAGAAAGCTTATCGTAAATCGGATCGGAAGCGGATCTATACATCGGACCGGACCGGATCTCAGGGTCCGAAGTCCGGAAGAGAAGCGTGAGTATATGGGATATGACAGTATCCCCCCCTTAGGGCCGATCCCTAGAGGCACAAGAACCATCGGTCCGGACCGGACGAGATTATCGCGAGATGATGGAGAAGCGTCTGAGTTCGGAATCGGACAGGTATACTCAAGGGCGGACGTCCCAGGATGATTCTTCCTTTCCCACTTTTTACTCTCTATAACGCTCTATCGAAAATGTCTGGCAACACCTCCGGATCTCAGAAGACTGCTAAGCAGAAACTGCTGGAGCTTCAACAGCAACTAGCGGACACTGAAGCTGCGGCTCGGAAGGAGGAGGAGGAGATTCGGAAGCGTCAGGAGGCGGAGCGGAAGCGTGAAGAGGAACGGAAGATTCAGGAGGATCTTAAGAGGATTCGAGAGTCCGAAATTCGGGTGGAGGCAGAAAACAAACGGTGCAGGGAGATAGTAGAGGAAATGGTGAGTTTCGGATGGTTATGATGGCTTTGCCTGACGGATGAAAAGTCTCGTGCCATTTCCGCTGACAAGGACGGATCCTGCAAGCGTTGCAGCGACAGAGGCCGGACTTGCCTTTGGACGGATGCGGAGAGCAATGCTCTGGTGAGTTAATCCGTGTTTTTTTTTTTTCGGATCCGAGTGTTTTGACGTCCGGATAGGTCAAGTCTTGCGATATCTGCCGGAAGGACAAGGCTACGTGCCCCGGACGACCCGGAACTGTCAAGGTGCCCAAGGGCAAGAAGAGGAAGCATGCTGCCGGATCTCCATCTCCGAAAGGTAAAGGTAAGAAACGTCAGAAGAGTCCGACTCCTGAAGATCCGGAGGAGATGGAGACGGAATACGATGATCAGGCTTGGGTGGCCGCAGCCAACAGTATAGTGGCGGAGCTGGCTAGGACTAACACCCTTTTGGAGAGAAGTATTCAGGCGGCGGAAGGCAGCAGGGCTGCAGCGGACCGGATGAGCTCCGGAATTGAGCTGTTCCTTCAGCAACAGAGGGAATTTCAAGCCATGTTGTTCGGACATATTCGGAAGGGATTTCGGACGTCTCCGGGTCCGGAGGAGGAAGATGAGGTGATGGAAAGGGCGTCCGGAAGTGATGCAGGCGGATCCGGAGAGGCGGATGGGTCTATGGAGATGTAGGAATTTCTGGTCCGTTTATGCTTCTTCTCTAAATGTACTTGTATTTCGTATGCACACTATGTACTTCAAAGTTGAATAGGACCGGGTTTGTTCGGATATGCAGCGTGGAAGTCCGAAACTAGTTCGGATGCGTTACCGAGCTCCGTAGC